TTCTACCTTCAGTGTCTGCCACACTGGCCCTAGCCACACTTGGTTGGGTCCAGGTGGCACACTCCATAGGTTAGATTTCGTAGGGGTTCCCCTCCACTGGCACTGTGACAGCATGCGCACGCACGTGTGGTATGACTTTGAGCAACTCCAGACCAAGGACGACCACTATCCCGTTGTTGCTGTTGCTGAGTTTGCGTGCCGACCCCGGGCGTCTGGCCCTGCTGCCTTTCATCGCCATGCCGTTCGGCCTCCTCTTGATGCCGTCCCTCCTGAAAGTTATTTCTGCAATCTTGCTGTTGCGGCGGCCAGCCCTCAAGCCACTTGGCAGGCCCCTGTTGATGTCCACTATGCCCACGTTGCCCAGGCCTGGACAACTGCCGGCCGCGCACTCTGTCCACACCAAGCACGGCAACCTTGCCAGACTTATCTTTCGGTCGATACCTTGCAACTTGTCACCTGGCGCAAAGCCTGGCGCAATCATCTTCGGACTGTGCGCCGCCAGCGCAACAACCGTCTGTTGGCTTGCGGGTTTCTCAGCTGGCGTTGCTTCTCCCGTGGCGAGCTGTACACAGATGCCCAGGCATGGGCTCTTCTCGCGTGGCTTCGTGGACTCGATGTTGATATTGCTCAGGCCTCGCGGATTGTCTCCGACTTGGGTTTCCGCATCAAACAGGCCACGCGGGACGACAGGAATCGCTACCTTGAAGGTCTTGTCCAGGCGGTGACCCTCTCCGACCTCCGTGATCCAAAGGCTCTCTTCTCGCGCGTACGCCGCGCATTTCCTCAGTCACGATCGGCAAGGCGCCCCGTCTTCCAGCCGCTCCCTGCTGTGCAGAAAGCCAATGGAGAGCTCGCCTGCAGTCTTGATGAACGACATGAGTGCTGGCGCTCCCATTTTGCCGAGCAAGAAGCCGGGGAGGTCATTCCGGATGCCTCCTACCCTGCCGCTCTTCGAGCCCAGAAAGCGGTTGGCCACAGGTCCGACACTGTCTTCGAGCTCGCTTGCGTCCCTACTCTTGCTGGCATTGAGCGGTCCGTGTGTGGCCTTCCGGCCGGCAAAGCCGCGGGCTTTGACGGGATAACGGGCGAACTCATGAGGGCTCACGCCCCGTCATCCGCACGCCTCCTAGTTGCGGTGTATACAAAGTCTGCTCTCGGACTTTATGAACCCATTGAATTTCGAGGGGGAGCTCTGCTTCCATTGGCAAAGCGTGCTGCTTCATCACTGACCTGTGACAAATTCAGGAGTATCCTTGTGTCAAGCCTACCCGGGAAGGTCCTGCACCAACAGCTCCGACGCCAGTTGTTGCACCCTCTTGAGCGGGCCAAGACCGAGCTCCAAGCCGGGGCCATGCCCGGCGTGTCGACTGAAGCAATTGCCATGACCGCCCGTGTGTTCAGAGACATTGTCAAGAGACGGGGTTTGCCGCATGCCCTGACGTTTTTCGACATCAAGGCCGCATACTACCGTGTGTTGCGGCAAGTACTCACCCAGGTCGGCGACACCGAGCGTGCTCTCCGACGGCTCTTCTCAGATTTGGGCATCCCCTCTTCGGCTCTACAGGAGCTTGTTGACAAACTCTTGGGGGTTGGGGCGCTTGGGGACGCCGACACCCCTGAACACCTTCAACGGATGCTTGCTGACGCTCTTCAGGGGACCTGGTTTCGGGTCGACCAAAGTGCGGTGCTCACGCTAACGCACCGTGGAGTGCGGCCCGGCGATTGCTTGGCTGACGTGCTGTTCGCATTCACATTCAGCGCATACATGACTGCTGCTGAACATCGGCTCCATTCTCTTGGCCTCTCCACTGCGACTCCCCAGGCCTCTGGCACGGCTTTGGAGTGCTTTCCTGATCCGCCCAGTGTTTTGGGTTGTGCGTCTTGGGCGGACGACTTTGTGCAGATGACTGTCGCTGCGAATCGTCCTAGCCTTGTGCCAAGAGTCATTCGGATTGTCGGCGTTTTCCTTGAACAGGCAGAGGTCGCAGGCATCCAGTTGACTTTTGCTTGCGATAAGACGGCTACCCTCCTGGAGGACTCGGGGTTCGGGGATCCGCTCGTCCAGACGGACGACGAGGGACCATATCTTGAGATCCGTAGCAGTGTTACTGGCACGGTTGCACGGCTGCCTATCGTGCCTGCATATCGTCACCTTGGTGGCATCATCACAGCCTCGGGGACGCCGGCACCGGAGATTAACTACAGGCATTCGTTGGCTGCCGGCGTCATCCGTCCTCTTAGGACACGCTTGTTTGCCTCTCCGACGATTCCTCTCCGGACCAGGTTGCATCTCCTGAAGTCACTTGCGATTTCTCGGTTTGCATTCGGCAGCGCTGCTATTCTCATGTGTGCCGCCCTTCATGGCCGCCTTTGGTACAAGTACTATATCAGCATTTGGCGCTCCCTTTGGAAGCGGGGCAAAGGAGAGCCTACCATGCACTCGTATGAAGTGCTTCGGCGCGCGGGGGCCCTGAGCCCTCCACTCGCTTTGGCACTCTCGCGTGCTGTCTTTATCAGGCAACTCGTCCGTTCCGGACCCTCCACTTTGCTGCATCTGCTCCGGGTCCAGTGGTGTAGCGCTCCTGAGTCTTCTTGGTTGGGGCAGCTCGAACGTGACGTCGAACATGTTGTCCTCTTCCTCCCGGAACTCCGAGACCTGCTTCCCGCCCGGCGGCGATTGGAGTCGTTGCTTGAGGCCATTACCGATGCACCCAACTGGTGGGTAAGCAAGGTCAAACAGGCCGGTGCTGTCTTCCAGAAAGATCTTGAGCGATGGAGGAAGGCCAAGGATGATGCTGGCGAGGCCCCGTCAGTTCGCCCTGCTGCTGCATTGCTCGCGAGTTCCAGCGAGGAACCCGAGCTTTTCTCCTGCTCATGGTGCCCTGCCAAGTTTGCGTTGCGCAAGCATCTAGGGGCGCATCTTGCAAAGTCCCACGGCATCTTTTCCCCTGCTCGCCACCTGGCTTTTGGCACGAGCTGCATCAGCTGCCTGAAATGCTACCATTCAGTCGCGCGTGTCCAGGCGCACCTGAAAAGTTCAGACCGGTGCTTGCGTCGTTCCTGCCTGTTGGCTCCGCCGCTTTCCGTTCCCGACATCCGGAATGTCGAGGACGAGGAGACCAAGGCCCGCAAACGGCTTAAGCACGGACAGTGGAGTGCGTATTCCCCGACCCTGCCTGCCTGTCAGGGTTTCGGGCCGGCCAACCTGACTGCGGACGAGAGGCTGGCTGAGTGCGGAGAAGACCTGGAATTGTCAGTCCTCTCCCGGCTCTACCGGCCTTCGCCCACCTTCCTTGCCTGGATCGATGCCTTTATCGATGGTCGCTCGGGCGGCTTCCTTCTGGCACTCCAGGCCGACGTTTCACCCGAATTCGACTTGCTAGGGACGCGCTGCTTGCGGCACAGAAGTCCATCGAAGAAGAAGAAGAAGATATACTATTTTTCGGGTTCCTTATTATATTTATTTTATAATGGGCCCCAAAACCCTCTTCTCATTGTTAAGGCCCCTATTTGGGGGGCAAGGGGAGTTTGCGTGCGCCCTACGGAAGATGGGATGTGTCATTGTGGTGTTTTGCCTGTTGTGGGATTGTCGGGCGAAGGCTGTGAGCATGTTCTTGGAGGCGTCACACAACTATACTTTGATGTTCCCGCGACACCCTTCCAATCATTCAGTCCGCTTCAGTCCTTTAACATGGGAGCGTTAATCATTTTCCTAATAATACTTTGGGGGATCCTTATTATAATTCTAGTATATTGGGCCCCCAAACCTCATTTATTCGAGTCATTAAGTCTCCTATATTGGACAAGCCCCTCAACCCGAGCCGTGAGCCCAAGCCGGGTGAAGCTTGGCTCTTTCATCTGAGCTGGGGCAATCTTTGCACCCAAGCCCTAGGCAAGCGGCAAACACTACATGCTAGAGTAGGTCCTACAGACATGGAAAGTATTCATCCGTCCATCCATCCATCTGTCGATCCGTTTACCTATCTGTGTGTATACGTATACATACAGTATGTGTGTGTGTGTGTGTGTGGATATATACATATATATATACTATACATATGCTGACTGGCTTTTTTATGTGTATGTCTTTACATAGATGTGTGTACGTATGTACGTACGTATGTGTGTATACATGCATACATACGGCAGAGACGAGACAGAGAGAGAGAGAGAGAGAGAGCTCGAAGTCCTCTTAGTAGCTTGGGCAGTAGGTCCGGAAAGCTCAACGATCTCCAGAACGATCCTGAGCTCCAGCCCATCTTCGAGGAGATGGCTGGATAATTACACATAGGCTTCCCGAAAAGTCCGCATGAGAATGGTGGTGTAGTGTACATATACCCCCGAACCCCATTTTAAATATCAAGGCCCCCAAATATCTGGATCTAGTGCAGTGGAATGTGAAGGCTCAGGGTCCTGGAGCTTTCGGGCGTTTGGGTGATTGTTGCTTTTAGGCTTTTCGGATCCCAAGGGTTTGTCGGGGTCGGCGGCTTCGAGCTTAGAGTCTGCAGGGGTAGCTCGGTTGATTTATTGAATGGTTCTCCCGGTGCTTGAGTTGGCTGAGCTAGTTTCCTCACGACAACTGAAGAGGCTTTCTCGATACTTCGTACCTGGGCAGCCCAAGATGACTGATTCTAGTCTTTCCAGGCCTTGTTGCAGAAAGGATTACCTACGACACGACGCCCAGGTCTACCGCACACAATCCGCCATAGTACAGCATCGGAAGTGAACTGCGATTGCTTTTGTTGGATGCTCCTGAGCTTGGCACCTTGTGAAATCTCGGAGCCCGTCTTGAAGTCTTGGCCTTGCAGTAGAGCGGGTTAATCGGTTAATCCGTCCCCAAGCAAATTTCACAATTCGCATCGGTTCAAGATGTGCTTCATAGATCTTAGAAGTTCGTCAAGCCCTGCAACCCACACGACCACCAGCCCCACCTGCCAACCAATTCCGGCTTTGTCATTGGTATTCACATCGGGATTGTAAACAGGATTCTCAATTGAGCCATGTTCCGACTTCGACTGTACTGCTGGCTGTTATTTGCTGAGCTCGCCCGCGCTGAGATGCAAGTCTCTCATGCTGAGGTGGGAAGCCGATGGGGAAGGGGCAGCTTAGGAAACCAAAGGGCGGCATTCGTGGTGCCATTCGGGCGTCCGCTGGGATAAGCTCTGCAAAACCCTTTGCTTTGTTTACGCGCTCTTATGGCAAATGCAATTCCTGACCAACTTATGCCTTGTCTATTACTTAGCTCATCATACTTTGAGCATACCCCAAAACTTACATCATCAGACCATTGGCTTAGGCCCGGAGCCTTGGTCTGGTGAGTAAACTTAAGCATGAAGCGAATTAGCGCCATCGGGCTTTAGGCAGTCGCTTGGCTTCGGTAGTTTGGCAGCTTCGGACTACCACAGACTTTACGGTTCGGGGCCAGTTCCGGCACAAGGAGTGAGCGGCTTATGCCGATATGCTTTGGCTCTGAGGCGCGCAGTTCCCTACCCCAACCCGTGCAGGACGCTTACAGACATAGCTGTACGATAATTTGATTCAAACTGCCCCCAAACCACCATTCTAATTGGCTGTATCCGGACCCCAAGTCCGGCCCGCAGCGCTGGCCGTAGGCTCAGTATCGCGATCGCTTCCCTGGAAGGAGAATCATATCCCCATACAGTAAGGGCCAAAATCATCACTGATACTATTCCTTGGGGTTCCTTTGTTAAAACCTTTGTGGGCGTAGGGATCGCGGAGCCTTAATCATTGGAAGAGCGCCTCGGGGTAGATTTTAGTTTACGTGTACATATGTTTGTATATATACACATACATACATACATACATACATACATACATACATACATACATGCATATATATATATATATATATATATATATATATATATACACACATATGATTGCGTTCTATCAGAAAACAGTCATTATGCACTACCCAATGCCCATTTGCTTAGAACGTACGAAGCCCCATGACATGGTGCTTGTTACATTTTCTTCGGGAGGCCCCTAGACCAGTGAGACCGTGGGAACAGTGCTTGAAACTCTAAGTTCGACACCCCCTAAAGCTTAGGGTTTTGGGTAACCCTTCAACGCTAAATCCTTCAGCCGGCAAAAACCTACGCTCGATGCTCTAAACTCGAGGCTCGGGAGGCAAAATCCCACCTGCACGTTAACCTTGGGGCGGGATATCCCTAGTCTGTTTCCTTAGTCAGAAAGGCCGACCACCAAAACTCCTCCAACACTAACAAACAGCTCCAATAGCCAATAACAAACAGTTCCACAACCCTATACCCTAAACAGTGCAACGAAGGAAGAAAAGAAGAGAACAAAAGCGCCGCAAAAAGCAGGTGATGCCAGGCCCAGAGCTGCCTCCCTGCGACAACTCGGAGATCAAGGCCACTTTGGGGGAATCGTTTTTTCGGTGATTCCCTGCTTGTTCGGGGATTCAGTTTAAGTTCCCGTCGTAGGGATCTGTAGTAAAGACATGGAGTCTTTATTATGGTAACTTAAACTAAACTCCTTCACAAGAACCCCCAGCTTTTAGAGGCTTGGCAAGGGTTCTTGTTGGAGTTGCTTCTGGGCTTAGCGGCTTCTGGCGTCTTGAGGCTTTAGCAGTTTGGGTTTGGCCTTTTTTGTGGGTTGTGGGTGTAACTGCCCTGCACCCGAAACCAAATCCCTTTCCCTGGAACGGCAACGTGTCGTCAAGTTTCTGAGTCACAAAGGCTGACAGCCGTTGCCAGCCTTGGTTTAAGATCTTTTCCCAAGTTTTAAAATCCACTGCGAGCATCCTGAGATCCGTAAACGGAGCGGGTGTTTTTTTTGCTTTTGCTGTTGATGTTTTTTCGCGCCGCAGCCCCGGCAAATTAGCAAGTGAGTGAACGGCCGGCCCGGGAGCAAACAGCAAAAGACGCACGCACGCACACACAGACAGACACAGACACACCGTAGCAACAGCAAGGAAAAACAAAAGCACAGATCCCACAGCACGACATGTCTCATTTGGCTGCAGTTACAGCTTGAAATATTCATTGAAAGCTGAAAACCGAACTGTGCCCTGCATGTCAAAGTAGCCGAAGAGCCCTCGACCCACACCCTGAATTTCCAAAGCCCCACACCCTATGTAGGCCCTAGTTTCGAGACCAAAGTTGAAGTAGCGCAAGAGCCCCGAACTGTCAGCGTGATGCTGCGAGGTGGCGGAGGAGTGCCCCAATGCAACTAGCCTGGGTCTTGTCTGGTCGAGCTTCTCACAGCAGTTCCTAGGCCGCATCCGCACGGTGTTGGGTTTCAGCGGGAGCTTAGGCTTCCAGGCTCGGGCGGGTGTAAGCTTAGGGGATCGGACATAGAGCTATTCATATCAGGTGCGGTAACGGGTTCATATCGCTGAAGCTTCAGGAGGCTTTGATGGTTCAGGAGTTTCGGCCTTGCTCGAGTCGAGGTGACTGCTCGCTAGGATGCTCTTTGTTGTGGGGTTTCCCCGCTCCCAGCTCAACGTTTCTATGGTTTTATTATTGCTCAATATGCAAACACCTGGACCACGCCCGTCAAATTGAGGGTTCCTCCTCCCGAACCTTGTTTTGGCTGCTCGTTTCCCATGCATCGTCAGTCAGCATTGGAGCTGTGAAATGTGATGCTGAATGTTTCAGGGTTCAGGAGTTAGTCTTAGGCTGTCATGGAATCCGTGCGCATGAATCCAGGGGACCAATGGGGTTTCGCCACTTGCATCATGAGTGCTCCGGTGCATCCGACCGCGCAGCAAAGCATGATGAGCATCAGCTGGGACTGCTCCCGTGTATCTGATCTTTGAATGTAACTCGAACCCATCAGCGGGGACCGATCCTAAGTGAGCGCTCCATTGTATCTGACCGGAGCCAAGCAGAGTCAACATTAGCTGAGGGCACCGGAGCCGTCCAAGCTGATGCTAATAATGCTTGCTTGCAGGGTTCAGTTTAAGCGGCATGTTTGCTGGGCCCTTCCAGCTGTTGCACGTGATGCGAAGCTATGGGTCCGGATTTAGATGAGATACACCTGTGTCGGCGTCTAAGTCAAAGTATACGTCCTGTTTGCAACTTTGGGTTTGGGGGCTAGATTGCTACATCGCAAGCTGCTGTTGGCCAGAACATGTGTTTTTCAGTTCATGCAGGATGACTTCCGAGTGGGTGCGCCGTTGAAGTCAGGCCCGGCCCTACACCCATAAGAGTAACTCTCATTTCGCAACAATATACAGTAGTGTAGTATAGTTTAGTTGTCGTTCTAGTCAAAGCCCCTCCTGTAGGAAAAAATCCGCGTTTCTTGAATCTCAAGGCTTTTTGCTGCTCGTGCTCAGCTGTTTGGCTTCTCCTTATCACTTGCTGCAGCCTGGCCGCCTTCAGACTGATCGTGATTAGCACCTTCATTGTGATTCGTACTGGAGCTTAGCATATACACATCTTTTGACATACGTATATACTACTGAGGACCGCGAGGGTTCTGACGAAACCAACTACAGCTTGAAGCGAAAACTTGAGATAGGTGCTGCTCCTTATGTGTGTGGCACGCACAGTTGCTGGCAGCTCCGAGGCGCAGCCTTCTTTCGCCAACACTGCTTGAAACGTCGCCATTCCATGCAAGGCAAGCCTACTAGACCACAGTGCTACATCGAGGTTGCCCAGAAGCCCTTGTAGGGGGTTCCCCGATGAAGAACGTAGTGCCGAGATCCTGAACACCTTGAACTGGAAAGAATTGCCTACATAAGGTCCCACCCTGAAATCTAGCCTTCCAAAGCATCAGAGAGAATTCTAGAAAAGCTTTGAGAGCTTCACAGAGTATTGGGCAAGGAGAGCCACGGGCATGTATTTTCTCGTTTGGTATCCAGACATCGGCTAGTCGAGGTTTCAGCCGTGCACAAGCTGCTTTCACAAGCGACCAGCAAGTGGCAAGGATGCACAGAGTGATTTGACTTTGCCGCAGTGCGGGCTACATAGCAAACACTTTACTGCTGTCAATGTCAATACCCAAGACCCAGAAACACACGCTGAACTCTAAACTACCGGAGTCTAGTGCTTGCGAGAGCCTTGACACTTGGGCGGTCGCCGGCGAAGGTTTTCAGACGCTTTCTCTTGCACTGCTGCAGTTGTCAGCACCTACTTCACTTTGGCAAGGTTTCTGGTTCTGCAGGGCCGGATGCGGAGGGCGCTTGCCTTCCTTCACCTGGGCTTCATTTTTGTTCGAGACCGTGGCTTCAGCGAATGTTCAACTTGGCCCGCAGCGGGTTGGGATGTCATGCTGGCCGGCAGGTCGTTGACTGAGAGGGTCCGCCTGCTTGATGACGAGTCTGTTCTCAAGTTGGAGCCTGCCCACCGAGTCGACGGTCTTCGCATCGCCGTTGTCACTATCTGTGCATATGCAGCAGATGCCCCTGTGCGTGTTCTGTGCGAGCAAAACCGCCAAATCTACAAAGCACTTCACGGCTACGACCTCCACTTTTTTACGGACGCCGCGCAGATTCTGCCGAACAAGGCGGCCCGCATGAATGTGCAGGACGGAATTCACAAACCCTTCTTCTGGAAAGTGATGCTCGGTTTTTCGTCCAAAACTTTCTGCATTCGGAAGAAAGTTGCATTCATGCCCCCTGTAGATCTGCAGGCTAGCGCGGTACTCATTACTTCGTTACTGATGCTCGGAGCATGAATCTCAGGAATGCTGTCAAGAATGTCCTGGACACGAACAAATATGACTGGGTGCTGTGGATGGACTGCGATGCATTTTTCATGGATCCAGGAGCACCTTAGGAGGTGTAGTGTAGGTTTTGTGGGTCGTTGTTGTGTCCCAGAATCTCAAAGTTGGCAAGACATCATGAAGACCCCCGGACGGCCGTGTAGGTCTCGTTTGTTGCCTGCCACCTCTAAGCGGTACCCCCCCGAAGCCAGGGCGCAGCATCGATTCCGTGATAGCCATGTACAGTGGCAACTTAACCTCAGCCTCGCGTCTCCGTCCTCCAAGCTGCCTGGCTTTGCAGGCATTGAAGTTTAAGCGGGTCAGTGTTGATGTTTACTTGTTCAGGTCCGTGGGTGTCTTTCGTGTAGCAAGATCCTAGTAAAGATAGCTGACTTCGCTGATCAACGAAAAACCGAATTGGTAATGAGGTGCCAGCATTGGTTAATGACCATCGTAGCAGTAGTTGTCGTCGTCGTCGTCGGCGGTCGTCGCGGTCATCGCAGTCGTCTTAGTTAGTTGTGCTTCTTCTTGTTCTTGTTCTTGTTCTTGTTCTTGTTCTTGTTCTTGTTGTTGTTGTTGGTGGTGGTGGTGGTGGTGGTGGCGGCGGCGGCGGTGGTGGTGCGTTGTTGTCGTTGTGGTCGTGGTTGTAGTGGTTTCTCGTCATTGTGGTTATGGTGGTTGTTGCCGTTGGTGCTGGTTGTGCTAGTGCTGGTGCAAGCCACATTGGCAGGTTCGGAGGACTCTGAGGAAGTGCGCCAGATGCGGCGCAACATGAGCCCAGATCCCGGCGTTAACATTTCCTTAATATTCGCCGTGGACTCAACGGGCATCAACAACGGCGTATGGCTTCTGACGCATTCCTTCATGGTACCGTGTTTGCGTCGTTCTGCAGTTCTCGGTATCTTAGCTTCGCTGGGCCGCAAACGTTACAAGAGGTCGTAGGGTTTCCGGACAGCAGTAGTAGTAGCAGTAGTAGTAGTAGTAGTAGTAGTCGTAGTAGCAGCAGTAGTAGTAGTAGTAGTAGTAGTAGAAGTAGTAGAAGTAGTAGAAGTAGTAGAAGGAGTAGAAGTAGTGGTAGTGGTAGTGGCAGTGGCAGTAGTAGTGGTAGTAGCATTTAGCGTAGTGGCGGAGGGGGTAAAGGACGGCAGGTAGGTGGTGGCTTTGGCTGTTGGAGGAGAGGCAGGGGGAGTAGCAGTAAGAGTAAGAACACGGACAAAGCTCAGATGTGATCAACATGTTCTACTCTCGGGAAAGCATCACAAATTAGTGTGTAAACATGAGTTTCCCCTGAACGCATCAAAGCAAAAATGAGTTTCCCCTAGCAAGGAGAAATACAGCTTGGTCGCATGACTTCCTGCAGCGGTGGTGGGACTCCGACATACTCGAAGGCCCTGGCTGCTTCTCGGGTCTGGTTCGACTGCTCCGGTTTGCAAGTCCGAATCTTGCTTTTTGCAGATTCGCTTGTCTGGGCACTCCGATGTATGAAGGGGAATGAACTTGTATCCATATGTGCCGAGGAGTTAAATCGGACGTGCAGGAGTTGCGAACTGTTGTTTGTTCTGCATATGAGCCAGTGCTTGCGACTGGCGACAGTTTGCACCGAAAGCCGGTCCCTGCTCCAAGACTGAAACCCTTCCACATGTGGTGTGCAAGATTTTTCGGAATCAGACGCCGAGAGCCGGTGTGACCTGACTTTCCGAGCACGACCGACCGCTTCAGCATACAGGTATATACGGATGCATGATCGCATGCATTCATCATTGAAAAGTGTCAGCGATGTGTGTTATCCCGGTTCTTGACAGGAATTCAGCATGGACTAGTTTTTGTATACTCATTGGTAGTGAATTGCGGTCATGTCCAATGTCCGTCCACATGAGCTTTTGTGTCTTGCAGGTCCTGGGAAAGAGCACAACTGCAGCGACCAATCCACCATGCTGCATGCGCTCCTCCACGAGCGGGCCATGAAATTAGACGAGATATGGGACAAGTACGAGGCCGTCTGTGTACCTCAAGCAAGTTCAATCAAACCCAAGAATACAAATGAAGTTCCAGGCCGGCATGCGTGTAGTTGCCGGAGAACCCTGAGAACCCTGGACCCCTGCAAACCAACCACGCGAAATCATCACGTGTCCTGTTCATCCGCGAGATCCGAGCCTTCGAAAATCCAGATACCGAAACTCCAGGAAGGGGTTGCTAGAAAGGGCCTGGCATGCGAAAGTCCTCCATATCCGGACCTATCCAGGCTCATCCTGTGTGACCACAGATCTAGCGTCCGATGTAGGGGCTTGAGCAATAAGTATTCACTAGTATACCATTGTAGTCTCTGTATAAAAATGCTGTAGTATGCTAGCAAAAAAGGCCGTTCTTTTTACTCCGGCTCCTATACTAATTTAGGCTGGCATACCCACTCTTTTGCACAGCAAGGACCGCATATAAATCCAAGAACATCTTGGCACATCAGGGTAACCACAAGGTTTAATGAGGTTAGTCTTCATGGTACACTTTCACAAAGCTTGAAGGTCACTTTCCGGCTTAGGGTCTCTGGCTTTCGTTCTTCAGGGCTTAGCGAATTGAGTTCAAGGCCTTAGGGCGCCTTGTTTGCATTGTAACGCTTGCGCAGTTTGTCCCACTTGGGTTTAGGGAGTTTCGATCTAAGGTTTCCGGTCTAGGGCGGGTAGATTCTACATCGCCCTAGACACGAGAGCCTTGCCCACCGGAAGGCCCCAATCTATCCATCCGAAGTGCGCGTGGCGCGCCAAGAGCACCTTCAGTCCTTCCACGAGGCATTGAGCAAATCCCTCAGTTCATGGTTGGAGTTCCGGGTTTGTTTGCGGGGTCTTTGGGTCGTGGTGTGGGATTTGCCAGTGAATGCTGAGGGATTGGGACTGCGGGTCGGGGACTCAGGGCGAATACCTGTACCCGAAACGATCTACCTTTCTGGGGTTCCGTTTTATGGCTTATGTATATAGTCCCCATAGAAGGCAGATTTGTTGGGCTACAGGCGCGGTATGGTTTCGGACATGGTGGGCTTTTTCCATGTTATGAAGATCTTCGGATTGTGCGTGCACTCACATGGAGGCCATGGACCGATTGTGAAGGCAAGGCCGAAAACTTCTCCGACCCCACTCAGCCCCATTCTTCCCCAGGCCACACGGCCCGCACGGCTGTCAGCAAAAATGGCCCTGGAGACCTGCAACCCTAAACCCTGAACCATAAAAAAAACTAATTGCTGCTCCGTAGCTCTTGGGCCTAGAACGACAGGCCACAGCGGCGACAGCTCTCTCTCGTGCCTGGCCGCTTGCTTGCATGGGACCTGTCTCGAAGTTCTCAAGATCTGGCAGCAAGCATCAGCCTAGCAAAGCATCGTTCTCATCCTTACTTTCGAAGCCTTATCACCCTGGCCTTCGTCAGCCATCGCCACCACACTAAGCGAAATCATGACTGTCACCTTCGTAATTTTGACGTTACGCCGCCCGCCTGGGCTTGCCGGAGACCAGCACTGTGACAGAACTCATCGACTTGCTTCCGTTCTGTGACAGAGCAATGCGGATGCAGAAGTGGGAGGGAGGGGGGCAAGGGACGGAGGGGGGTAGCTGAAGGGCGAAGAGAGGTGGGGGTAAGGAGGGGCAGGGGGGCGGCAGCAGAAGGGAAGGGGGGGGCAGGCAGGTAGCTGGAGGGCCAACCCCCAATACGCCTGGGCCTCGGCGGACTAGTTCTCATCACGCATGCCACTACCTGCGCCAGAATCCTCATCTTCCTGCTTGCATCCATGGGTTTTAGCGCTTGCGGTCGAAGACTTGAGCTGAACTTAACGTACCGGCTTTCCTGATCATTGAGCGGTTCGGGTTCAGGGTTTGGTTGTGTTTCTTCACCACACTGAAGCTTCACTGAAGACCACGTTCCAAGCACTTCAGGCGAGATGGAGACTTCATCAAGCACCACCCTGGTTGCGCCCCAGCAGAAGATTTCAGGGGATCAGGAAACTAGTTCTACTTAGGTTCTGAGGCCTTTGCTTCTGGATTGTTTGGATCTTGGTGGGTTTAAAACGGCTTGGGGCTTCAACGGAATTACTTTTCCCCTTAAGGAGGCAGCTCGAACATCCTCGAAGCAGAAGTCCCCCCCATGTATCACTCTGGTTGATGATGGAGTGGGGGTTAGGACGACGACTGGAGGATATATTGGATACATGTGTAGGGGTATATATATATATATGTATAATAAACGTATATATATATATATATACACACACACACACACATGTATTCCAAAAATGAGGGAATGGCCGAGGTCATTGTCGTACTGGTTGTGATGGTGGCCCTGAATACGAATGACAATGGATCATGCCGTTGGCTGTGATGTTGATGGTCATGAAGATGACGTTTGTTCGTGATGTTGAGGGTATCGGGACGACGGTCTTCATGACTGTGATGGTGACGAAGTGCTTGGTATTGGTGTTTTGCTGCTACGATAGCAAAATCTGTGTGATCGTCTTCAATAGCGATACTATCCCTGTGCTGTTTCCTTCATGCGACCTTCTGACATTCTCTAGATCCTACATGTCAGCCACGGTCAACCACTATAGTGAAAGCGCACCATGCGTGTTCAATGAACGAAGCTGCCGTTTTGAGGCCACTTCTACCGACTTCCCTGCCAGCAGCTATATCAGGAAGCACAGGCCCGGAGTTGGGGATGTCGTTACTTGTCATTATAGTCTTCGTCGCAGTGGTTGCTCCTGTTTCTGCGGCTGCTGCTCTTGCTGTCGACATTGTTATTACGCTCCTTTTGGCTGTTATGATGTTTGCTATTCTCACCTTCTTTTTGTGGCACGGAGTCATTTCTCTGTCAGCGGAAGCCACGACGCTTTGAGTCTAAGCCGTGTTGCGAGTCTTGTTGATGTTGTTGTTGTCGCTGCTGCTGTTGTTGTGGTTGCTGTCGTGGCGGTTGTTGTGTTACTTGTTTTGTAAGTTGCTGTGGTTGTCGCCGTCATTGTCGTTGTTGTCGTCGTCGTTTCGTCGTCGTTGCTGTTGGTGTTGATGTTGGCGGTAGTGCTTTTGCTGCTGGTCAGGGTGATGGTTTTGTTGTTGCTGGCGCTAGCGCTGGTGCTCTTGCTGTTAAGTTGTAGTTGTTATTGCTGTTGCTGTCGTTGCCGCTTCCGCTGCTGGTGATTTTGCTGTTGCCAATGCCCATGCCGTTTCCGTTGCCTTTGAGGTTGCCATTGCGGTTGCATTTTTTGCCTGTTGCTGTTGCTGCAGTTGACCTGGTGTTTGGTCTGTGGGCTCACTAGCTCAAAGACAAAAGTCTACCAGCGAGAGCCGGCTTCTACACGACACGTCCTGGTGGTTCAGTGTGCAATTTGCAGATCATCTTTTGCAGTAAGCGCTGAGGAAAAGAGAGCAGAATTTTCTGTGTGGGCAGCTCGAGAGCCTTGACCCCTCAACCCTAAACTTCATCTTGACCCCATTCCCCAGCCAGTTTCCATTATTTCCATTATGTTCACCTGAAATCACCCTTGGCTCCAGAGCAAGTTATTCCCGGAATTTACAGTATTTGACAAATTGTGATTCGCTCTCGACGAGTAAGGTAACCTCAAAGCTGAACCTAGGCAGAATAGTTCCAGGCAACGCCGTGCTTCCTTAGAGCGTTCTCCTGTCTGGCAGCCCTGCAGAGGAGATTTTCTACAACAAAGTCGTGCTTCTCCACCAGCAGTGAGTGCCGGCGCGATTCACTGTGCCAACCGCGCTGATGTCTGCCTGACAGCCGCCGCTGGAAGACATCACCTTGGACAGGGTGGCCACGTGATCGGAGCCGAAGTTGAAGTTGAAGCAGCTGGAAAAGGTATCTGCCCAGATCTTGGTAGCCTGCGCATCGGCATCCAACGCTGTACACACAGCTGCAGATCTCGACGTGTCTGTGGCGTGAACCAGTGGAGCATCCCAGACTTTCATCGTCACAAAAGCGCTTTCTGAAGACCCGCCACCATGGCAAGAGATGTGACAGGCACCGCTGGGTGAAAGCAGAGCCACGGCCACGAGTCACAGACTGATTGCGCAAAACTCTAAACTGTTACAGCCCGGCACTGGAGCCAGCGGTCAAAAGTGTGCCTGCGCGCTTGCATTTGAACGCTTCGTTCGGGCGTGGCCTGAGCCGCCAGCAGCCAGCAGTTATTGCTGCTGCGCCAGTACTACAACAGATGTCAGTTGCGCATTGAGTAGTACAGACGAAGCGCAAAGCTTGTCGGAAACCTTCGTCCTCGCTCCACTACTACCAATTTCGACTACTTGTACTTCTACTACTGCTACTACTAGTACTACTACTACTACTACTACTACTACTACTACTACTACTACTACTACTACTACTACTACTACTACTACTACTACTACTCCTGCTGCCACTTTTACTACTGCTGCTGCTGCTACTACTACTACTACCACCACCACCACCACTACTACTACTACTACTACTACTACTACTACTACTACTACTACTTCTACTCCTTCTACTCCTTCTACTCCTACTCCTGCGGCTGCTGCTGCTGCCACGAGCTACAACTAGCAGTAGTTGTAGTAGCTGGCAGCAATGAATGTGAGGATAGTGAAAGTGCTGACGGTGATGAAGCCGGCGATGCTCCTAATGGGTGTGATGACCTTTGTAACCGTGCAGGACATCAAGAAGAACGGCATGACCGCCTTGGAGAAGTATTGGGGCGACGAAAAGCTTATGGCCAAGATTTCCAAGGCTCTGCGCAAATAGGATTCCAAGGTTGAGAAGAACGCAAGCAACGATGGCAACTTCTGACTTGGTGGAGTCGAGCTTGAAACCTGAATGGTTTCCGCGATTGAGTTTTGTCAGTCAATTAAGCCTGGAGAATTTTGGGGATGGGTCCTTTGCCGGTACATTCCAGGGCGTTGGGCTTATTGCCCTGCTGTAACGAAGCTCTTATGGGTAAGATGTTTGGGGTTTAGAGCCCAGCATGTAGGAGTCAGACACCAAGACTTGTCAAGCGAGACGAAGGCAGACCCACCGCCCAAAGCCGAGCGACAGCTTGAACCTATACCCGGAGCGCGAGCATCCGCAGCGATCCGGGAACCGCAAGAATTAGACCCAGTTTGTAATTCGATCGGAAACCGAGACCCTTGAAGCAGTAGCCTACGCAATCTGGAGCAGGCCATGGGTGGCTAGGTGGCTCAGGAGGCCGTTGTTGTGGATGCGGGGTGTACAGAGCCTCCCTAAGGGGCTTGAGGTGTGTATTCTGGAGATGTGGGCCTTTAGGAAATGATCGTGGGGCTTAGGGACTGAAGGCCATCGGGGATAGCGCATGTGGTGTTTGGTGTTCAGTACCTATACTTGCAATGTTCCAAGGCTTTCGGTGGTATTTAGCAGTGGTCCTGTACCAAAAGCTGGAATATTTCCTTTGACTGGCAATTCATTTTGGGCTGCCCGTGTACGCCATTTTTTGAAGTGCACCTCCTTGCATTCATCTCGGCCATCGTGCCAAGATCTTGAACTACTGCGCAGACTGCCTAAGCCGAAGAGCGGATAAATTAAGGTTCGTAGAGAAGCATTGGCTTTGGAATTGCGCTGCCTGAGCTGCGTTTGGTGATGACGCTCGTGATGCTCCACCGTTCATAGTCATGGCCTTCTCAGGCCGGTGATGCGCATGCTTACTCGAATCCCGGTTGCGTAGTCGAGGTTACTAGAACAAAGTCTGAAGTTTCCGGAAGGCCAGGACGTGAAGAGGATCTTGGGCGTCTGGAGAGCTGCTCCCGAGGGACTGCAATGAAATGGTGATGATGATGATGGTGAAGACGATGACAGTGCGGTTAGGGCGATGGTCAAGAAGAAAAAGAAGAGCCAGATATTTAACTTCGACGACGACGAGTGAAAAACGACAGGAGGAGAGAGTTAGCCAGTTAATAAACCGCACATGGTGCTGGCGCGCACCGGAAGGTTTTGGGAAGGAGGAGGCGACGAAGAGAGGGGGGGGGAAGGTGACCCTTGGAATGATGGTGGTGGCAAAGATCACATTGGTGATCGCCACAGCGATGCAGGCTGATGCCTCGTGTGGCTATTGTGGTTGTTGTTGTGGATAGTTCTCTGGCCCTATCCTCTCGACATGCCATATCCATCACCATCCAGCATACTCAGCATCGTTTATGTCATCACAAACTTGCGCACTCCAGATTTTGTATTCAGTTCTTCTTCACAGTTATGCTGATCCTCATCTTCAGCAAGTATCGTCGCAGTTGCAATATTCCCAGGGCTATCAGAATCGATGCTCAGAATTGTTGTCGATGCCGTCGCCTTCAATTCATAGCCTTTTGGAGCCACGCAGGTTTGTCCCTGTCATGCTCCAAATGGTCTATGACAGCAAGGCGATGATTTTGGAGGCCTCCACGTAACAACGCAGTTATGGGGCTTGGGAGCCAGAGCATTGGTGGCAGCTTAAAACTTGGCCTTGCAGACATCAAGCATCCGGGCCACCATAGGCTTGCAACAGCGCTTGAACAAAGCTCAGTCTCAAGTACGGTTTCGGGTTTCCGGAGGGATCCGTTTCAGGGACCTCTTTAAGTTGGATCTATGTCGACCGCGGTACAGGTGTGGCGTGCGCGGGGGAGGTAGAGTGCAACCGATGCAAAACTGCTTGGCGAGGCGATTCGAGGCTTTGGAAGCTGCCCCTTCTGCCTCGGAAATGAAGCCCGACACCAAAATAAACCTGAGATGACCTCCGGTGTCTCATGGCAGTCCGGAGGTTTCACACTGGCGAACCCCGCCTCTTTAACATCTGCCAGCCGAGACCGCACAAGGAAGGCCTGGACGTGGGGTTGAAACCTGGGCTTTCTTGGGAGTTTACCAAATCTGGGAATCTGGGAATACCTGGTTTTAGGGTCCTGGAAGTAAGGATCCTACTATTAAGGGTACTATATATGAGGGTCCCCTATTTCAGAAACTCCTTGTCGGTATCCTTAGAAATTCAGAGCAGGCTCACCTGGGCTTGGAGACACAGCCGGACCATCAAGAATTGTCTGGCGCTTCAGAGGGACCGGGCTCAGGCTTTGTTGCATCGGTCAGAGGCAATCGAGCCCTTACATCCTGGCCTGCCACTGCCCGACTTTTTCCGCAGTCACCCAGAAGGAAAAACATCAGGCCGACTTGCTGCACTCTTCAGAATTGAATCCCCAACCAGTAAGGACCATTAACAACCAGGCTAAGAGTTTTATGTTGAAAACTGTGTCTATATCCTTTCTACTTGATATGATCGTATCTTCTGAAGTTCGCTGGATATATCATACATTGTAAAATCTGTGCTAAGCCTGACCATTCGGCCAGGATCTCCTCCAGGCGGCTTTCGGAACCAGCAGATGGCGTGCGCGTGCGCGCCGCAGTCGAGCGAACCCCCTCTAGTGAGGAAAACGGACCGTTCTGTTAAGGCTTAAAGGTTTCAGGGCTTTAGGGTTGAAGTGTTTTGAGGGTTATTCGTTTAAGGGTTCTTTGAGATTATGCTCGGATGCGCATCGAGGTGTCAGCTCTGAAGAAGTTGTAGTTTAGTCTATGCTGAAACCCTAAGCCTACAACGATTCCCATGTCAATGTCTGGCAATTTGGAGTCATCTTTGGGTTTACGATTTAAGTCGTTCCACTTGGCCCCCGGTAGGCAACATTTGGGAGGCCGGAAGGATCCGCAAGGGGGGCCCTCAAGCTGGGTCAGGCCTTCTTCCCAATTCATAACGGCATTACTCGATATGGGTTTCGTGAGGTTTCATGAACGGGTCCGCTTCTAGTTTTGGGTTCAGAGTGTCGGAGTATGCAAGTTTCTCATGCTGGGGCATGCCAGTGTCGGTGACCAACTTTCCTGCGCGCAGGCCAGAGCCAGAAGCAGAGTCCTAAGGCTTGAAAACTTCTGCCCTTGCCCAAGCCATGAGGCTCAAAGTAGCTTCGAAGACCAAGGATAGTCAGTTGGTGCTGAGTCTTTTCAGCCAGTATTGCCAGTAGACCCTGCGAAGCACAAGGGCAGAACAGCAGAACAGGAGTCCAAGCAACTAATATAGGGACCTAAGGTTTACCAAAACTATTTTGGGGGTTCCTTATTAGCGCCAAAACCCTATTCGAAGTATTAAGGCCCCCATATTACCAAGGTGGTCGCCGCCACCACTATGACGAAGGTCAAAAAGCTAACAGCGGCATAGAAAGACTTCTCTTGCTGTCGGTCCTGGTGTAACCCAAACTGTGTCCGTCCTGAACCTAGCCGGGGTCATGCTTAGCTACTTCGTAGATGTACCTCCAAGTACGTCCTTTGTGTCTTCAGGGTCTTGTTTTGCAAATTTGGTCAACGGATTTTCCTGGCCAACCTAGAAATGAGTATAGTGTTAGAAGACAAGGGGTGGGTAACTCGTGTTAACATCAATGCCAACTCAGTGGGGGCTCGCAGATGCTGCAGCGCCGTCGCCCCAGCCTTGGGCAAGCACCGTAAGTTGAATGGGCTCAAAATATCAAGCATGCAGCGGCTGTACTATGACCAGGTCCTGTATCTGTATTGCCGATCTATTCCCGAAGTGCCCGCCCTTAGTGTGAACCGTTTGAAGGCGGCATGGTGATTCCTGAAGGATTCGATTCCCCCGAGTAGCATCCCCAACAAACGGAACCAACCTCGGGAGCCGAGGCAGCAGGTCATGAAGCCCCACCCCCCCTCCCCCTTCAGGCAAGACGCCG